ACAGCACTTCAATCTCAAACATTAGCTGAAAAACCTCTGCTTTTCATACCATATTTCTCAGTCTCAAGCCAGTCAGTCTTTTGTTAATTTAGACACATAGATCAGAGGACAGAGCAAAGCGGACTTAATGGTAGGTCCAGGCAGAATTACTCTTTGGTGTCCTGTGGGGCTGCTCTGCTCACCCCCTCAATCCCTGCTCTCCCCAGCAGTGTGCAACAGAGCACGCTCAGTGGGAGAAAAACAGTGCCTGTTTACAACAGTGAAAACTCTCCCCTTTCATTTTGGCTGTTTGAGTGAATATCGTATGAGAAACAGGAGTGTGCATGTGTGTGCGAGCGAGAGCACGATTTACAGTTGGTTGTAATGACTCTCAGAGGGAGCTCCTCCTCCCTCAGAGATATTTGCCTCAGTAGAAAACAGAGACAACCATGATTTAAATCTAAATTACACTCAATGCCAATAATCCTAACTATATTAAATGTACTACTATCTGTCTCTGATATGAGTGTTTTTGTTTTAATAAAACCAAAGTGATAATAAAGCATGCTCCCACATTTGTTAGAGCTATGGCTCTGTTGCTCAAAACTCGCTGTTCTGATTTGCTGTCTTCACTGTAGGTGAAAACATAACTGATGGTGTTGGAGCTGCGCTGCAGTCTGTTCCATTCAAACAACAGCAGAAATGATTTGATGAGCACCATCTTATTTTTGCATGTTTTCTGCCATTCATCATATCTCCTCATTCCCTTTCCATCCAGCTGTGGTCCCCAGCGCCTCCCACTGTTCCCAGTCCCCACTTGGGTTTGATGTCCATGACCACCATCCACTGTATAATGTAATACTATTGTCTGCCATTTGTATTTCATGATTCATAATGCTCCAGAATCCAATATACTTTGTCTTATTCCATACCATTTGTTAAGACTGCCAAGTACAGAGGCAGGAAAAGCAGGATTTGGGCCCAAATACAAGACACTTAAGCAGAGCAGGTTCTGTTCTTCAAAATTTATTAACCAAAACATAAAATATGCAAAGTTACATAGATTCAGGCAATGTCCAAGAAATAAAAGGAAGCAGGTCGAAGCAAACGCAAAATAATCCAACAAAAGGAAGTTAATAACTTCCAAAGCCGACTCACAAATGAAAAGCAAATAATCCAGGCTGAATAGCACGTGAAGATCAGAAAACCAAACAAACATGCAGACACCTTGAAGGCAGATGCAAGACGGATGACAAAGACGAAGAAGAAGAATCACGGACAATATATACTACCACAAACACACCAAAGCAAGCTGATTAAACCCAGCTGAGATACTGAAACAGTCAAAGGGAAGACACAACGTTGGACAAGACACAAGAGGGAGAAACGTTCAAAATAAAACAGGAAACACCAAATAAAGCCCAAAACTGGGACACTTTCAATTTGATTCAGCATTGACCATACAAAGAATTCAGTGAGTGCTCAGCACTGCAAAATAAAAGCTTGCGTCTTCCTCGTACTTTAGTGTTTTTGAACTGAATAGCGAATGAATAAAATAAATGAAATATCTGTCAATAAGATAAATGCAGACTTTCATGCTAATGAATAAAAATATGTCCGTTATAAGATAAATACAGATGATAGACTGAAGATCAATTATGTGATTGTTTATTGTATTCAAGCAATCTGGTAGAAAGATTGTTTTAAAATCCCGCTGGTGAAATTCATATCCACTGCTGTTACAGTATTAGACGGGCTATGAACTCCTGAGATTCAGTCAGCTTGTGTGTAGGCCTATGGGTGAGCTGGTGATCATCTCCAACATGTATAGCTTGATCCTTTTGTCTTTTTAGGGTGACAATTATACCACCAGTCCAGGGACAACACATGTAAACAGCCATTTGCTTAATTCTGGCACATTGTCTATTTATGTATTAATTATGTGCATTGTCCCTGTCAAATAAGCATGAAATAAAAAAAGAGTATGTTGTATACTTGTTATCCTTATTCCGCTATACAAATAGATATAACTCTGTGATATTGTGTCTCAGCTGGCAGGCTCTGTGGACGTCTGCCTGCCACTGCTGCTTATCCTGTGTATGTGCCAACCCCACAACACACACACACACACACACACACACACACACACACGAATAAGCAATTGTATTTGGAGCGATTTCCATATTAAGTGTGGAAACAGTATAGAATATGTAAATAAAAACAAGGCTTGGAGAGAGTATAACATGTTTATTATTTTGTTCTTCATTATCACTGCCCTCCAGCACATTGGCAGATATTGCTGCAGAATCCAGGGTGGGGATCTTCAGAAGATATCCCCTGCAGCTCACCTCTTCCAACGTACCCTGTGTTTATAAGACAAACAGAACAAAATCATACTTTTGATCTGCTCTCATACAGTGTTTAGATTTGTTTCTATTTCAGACAGTCTTTTTTGTTGGCAACAAGTGACTTGCTCAGCACAGTAGGCTGTGCCCTATGCATGTGTTATTTTTTAAAAAGACACTGATGTGTTCCTTAGGTAAATCAAAGAAAGAAACCACTAAAGTCTGTTATCATAAATTGCTATAGGTAGTGTTGTGCTAATATTCCCTAACAAACGTCTAATTGAAATGATGTTGCAGTTTAAAGTGTTAAAGTCATCTCAGGTTTCATCAAATACATATTAATGTCAGAGACACAACAATAACAACCAGAAATCTGCAAAGTATATCTATGGCTAAAATCGTAATTTAAGAGTTTATACGTTTTTCAATTGATTGCACTCACCCGTGACTCCGACACTTTCTCCTTCTGCTGCTGCTTCTTCTCAATTAAGACCGGATTCCAAACAACATTTAGGTGCATACCGCCATTTTGACACTTGAAACTACGTTTAAAACAATATTTCTACCAGATTGCTGGAATAGCATTATAATAGCAATATTATTAGCATGATAGTCTGCATTTATCAGTTCAAAAACACCAAAGAACGAGGTAGAAATAGGGAAGTTGACACAAGCTTTTATTTTGAAATGTAGAAACTAGCGGAAGGCACCAGGCGGGAGGGCATGAGGAGTAGAGCAATAGAATAGAATGCAGAGAAATAAAATAAATGAATAAATAAGAAAATACAAGTCTTGTCCATCAGTACTTTCACTGTCAAACATTGATGGGTGGTCGAATGTTGTACTTTTCTTTGTAGTATTACAACATGCAGTGTATATAGAAGTGTTCATTTAAACCCTACTAAAAGTATCAAATAACCTTGAACCATGCATGACAATACCCTCTGCCAAAAACTTCATCATCTCCTAGAGCAAGGGCAGTAACAGAACATTGTGGTTGGACTGGGCAACTTCCATTGGAAATAATAGAACTTCATGGTTGTACAGAAAAAGAGCACGCCAACTCTGAACATAAATGTCATCCTATACATCAGACTATTGGGCAATTCCAGTATCATGCCAATAATTTCAGTGGGGATCGTGTTTCATCATGGGAGGGTCAGCCCATTGTCAGCCCGCTCTGCCACTGTCACTGACAGTTTTAAGGTTGGTTGCTCTTTTGCTGCAGACTTCTGCCTCAGTGACACTCTTCTTTCATGAACTGCCACTTTGAGTTAAAGCTCCATGACTGATGCAACTTGGCCCTCGCAGCCCTCTGTGCCATGACGTTCTGTTAGCCCAACCCACACCTCTTTAGTAGGCTTGTCTTCTAGAATGGATTCAAAGTTACAGCAAACTAAAAGCACTGTGGAGGAAAAAGATACACTGGAGAGAATAAAGTGCACATTATCATCAGCACATCTGTCCCTGGTGACCTGAGTGGATCACAGAGAGAGAGAGCATTCAAAGCAGACACAATCAGTGCAGCACTGAATGAATGTGACTTGATATAACTATCATGTTAAATAAAGTGTGCTACTGCAAGACCCTGCAAGCCTCTGGGAGGACCGACTAATACTAAGTCCATCAAACACAAATAGAACAAATGTCTTTTTCTACTCAAGAATAGAGTATTTAAATGACATAAAAAACCAGACATGCTCCTGTGCTTAAACATAGTGTCTTTTAGTTTTTTACTTAAATTAATAAGTGAAGGAAGGCTTGCTTCAGGTAAGATTTTTCAGTATATTGTATATAAGTATATTTTATTACATTGATGGAGTCCAGGCAGCGTATACCGGTTATGGTACGACTGCAACTCTGCAGCTGACTTGAGTGCACAGTAGAAAAAACACACACACTATCTTTCCCTTCTAGTAATGATTATTAGTTTATAATAATGATTATTATTAGTAATGAAAATGTTTTCACATAGTAGGTTTAGCTATACACATGTCAAACTGTACATTAAGTAGCTTATTACCAGAAAAGCAGATACTTGGGGACGTTTAGCCAGCGTTATTCATGTACACTATGTTGATGTGTCCTTCTCATAACTACAA